GTGTGCCTTGGCGGTGGTGGTGAATGGATGGTTGGGGTCGGTCTGAAGGGGAGGGGCTTAGCTTGACCCTGGTGGTGGTGAATGGATAGTTGGGGTCGGTCTGAAGGGGAGGGGCTTAGTTTGACCCTGGATTCAGAGGGACAGGAGGTGAGAAGGGGTGGAGGAGGGTTACGTCGAGTCACCTGAAATGACAGCTGTCAGAGGGGAGAGAGCAGACTTAAAAGGTTTGGCAGAGCGCTATGATAGGCTCTTGGGAATAGAGCGAAGTGATTGGTTAAGCTGGAGAGTGACGCCCCCGATCACTTATTGAGAGGAGAGAGAGTAGTAACATGGAAATAGTGAATGAAGAGTAATGACGGTCTTCCTGGTTGAACTTACGCTGAGCTTCATTTCTTTATATGTGCATGCCAGCCACCAGAGACTATGATCCACTAATACTTGATTATAGTTGTCCTGTTTAGTTTTCTGTATATTAAGTGTCTATATGTTGTATGGTGCAGGCGGAGAACTTGCTACTAGACGCCGACTCCAACATCAAAATAGCCGACTTTGGCTTCAGTAATGAGTTCACTGCGGGCAGTAAACTGGACACCTTCTGCGGCTCCCCGCCTTACGCCGCCCCGGAGCTCTTCCAGGGGAAAAAGTATGACGGTCCAGAGGTGGACATCTGGAGCCTGGGGGTCATCCTGTACACACTGGTCAGCGGGTCCTTGCCGTTTGACGGACAGAACCTCAAGGTGGGTGACATGGAGGCTGTGTGGGAGCAAGATATATTTTATTTAAGGAGACTGAGCTCAAAGCAGAGATTATTTTAGATTGTGTCATACTGCACTGGTGAGCATAAGTGAAGTGTTGGGATACACGTATATGTCTTCATCGCTTCATAATTATTATGATTATTAATGTTATTATTACTGGCTGCTTTCCCTTATTCAGACATTTCAACTTCTGTAATACATCTGTAAATAGCTGTAAAATATATACTTCCACCTGTAATACCATCACCTGGCTGCTATATCAAAACTTAACACATGCTACACTTGTTTTTTTAAGTACTGTTAATGGCACTGGATGTGTTTTTTCTTAATTGTAAATGGATTAATTCCTATTTTTTATCTTTAATATTTGTTGCATGCTTCCTAATTGATATGAAACTATCTGGCTCTTTACTTGCTGTAACAATGTAAATGTCCCCTCGTCGAAAGAATACATGTGTTCTAATGCTGATAAAATAATAATAGAGTTGTTTGAACATTTCAAATTTTCCTTTAGGGTTTAATTAGATTTTTTTTATGTAATATGTTTGAAATGGCCCTCCAGACTCCAGAGTTTCAAAAACTCTAAGGCCACCGTTAATTCTAAATTGAGCTTCATCACAGAAAAATACACAGAATGACACATTGCCTAGTCCTGATGTTTCATTCATTCAGTGTCTCTGTATTCATTGTGGTTCAATGTGTGTTGCGTTCAGGAACTGCGGGAGCGTGTTTTGAGGGGGAAATATCGCGTGCCCTTCTACATGTCCACAGACTGCGAGGGAATCCTGCGCCGCTTCCTGGTCCTCAACCCTTCCAAACGCTGCTCGCTGGATGTGAGGAAAAGACATTCATACAGCATGTTCACTTTGACCACATCAGAGTCTAAATACTGCGCCTCTCTTTCCTCACCAGCAAATAATGAAAGACAAGTGGATTAATATCGGCTTTGAAGGCGAGGATCTAGTGCCCCACACAGAGCCTGAGGAGGACCTGAACAACACCAGCCGCATCGGTGAGAAACACACCTTTATTTACTCTAATCATTGATGACAACATGATTTACTGGTCAGTTAGGATAAGCTGGGAGCGTCTGGCTGAGTCTCACTGACACTTCTGGAGGTTTTTTAATTGTTTTATTCTGTTTTTGTAGTTGCAAAGTTATCAGTGGAAAAGCTTATGCCTGAGATCTGGCATATTGCTAGACCAAAGTTTCAATAATAATTTAGTGACATAACACGTAAGATAAGATCTTTTTTTGTATTTGTCTTAAAATGTTCAGTGTTACATCCACAAAGGGGACAATGCAACAACACTAGTCACAGTCACCAATAGTTTAATGAGTAGATTCCCGTAAAGAAAAAGTTCAAATATGCAAACAAAATAGAAGAACCCGAAATAGAAAAGCCCAGCAGGAGCTGCTGTAACAAGCAAGTCACTTACATGGTGCTCCAAACACGTTTAAATGGAACTAAACTTTTAGTTGGTGTTAAATTCAGGTTCTGATTATGAATCAAACACTGCAGGTTCACACTCATCAGGGCCCTAGGAACTTTCATAATTTAACTAAAGGTTAACCTGTGTGATAATACTTTTTCGACTTTTTGTAGAGCTTGTGAAATTACAATCTTTGTAATGTCATTTCTCTCGTTCCAGATGTGATGGTAGGGATGGGCTTCGCCAGAGAGGAGATCAGAGACTCGCTGTCTACTCAGAAATACAATGAGGTCACGGCCACATACCTGCTGCTGGGACGCAAGAACGACGTGAGTATATAGGCTTTTTTTTTAAATGTTTGGGTTCAACTGCACAAAAGCAATCTACCTTGATACAGTACATAGCACCGCAGGTAGGGGGGAACAAGGGCACTGTGTTAGTTCTTAATAACTCTGGGTTGATACACACAGCGGAGGCATTCAAAACCTTATTAATTATCACCAGTTGTTTAGTAAATTTAAATATTTGTCATCTTTCTCTCTGTGTCTGTCTCTCAGACGGATGTCAGTGAGTCTCGCACGGCCAGCAGTCTGAGTCTAGCTCGAGTCCGACCCAGCATCATCACCAACGGTACCAGCAAACACACCACCTCCTCCTCTGCTGCACCATCCTCTTCCTCCTCTGCCCACAAGCCTCAGCGCAGCGCCTCCACCTACCACCGCCAGAGACGGCACTCTGACTTCTGTAAGGACTTCAGACACCACTTTGTGATTAGGATCATTCATTTAGACGTGATGAAAAGCTGAGGGGAGCCTTCCTCACTGAGATCTTTTCTATCCCTCAGGTGGTCCTGCAGTTCCAGTGTCGACTCACCCCAAGCGGAGTCCTAGTGGTGTAGGCGAAGTGGCGGGGCTTAAGGAGGAGCGTCTGTCAAGCCGCAAGCCAAGCACGAGCACCATTGGCTCTCGGAGCATCCCGACCCCCTCCAGCCCCATGGTCAGCTCGGCTCATAACCCAAACAAAGCCGAGATACCCGACCGGCGCAAGGAAGTCACCACAACCCCAGTAAGACCCCAGGAGGAGGACCCTCAATCTGCCTAATCCCATTACCCAGATTACAGCACACTGACACAGACATATGAAGACTGCAAAAATTAACACAGATTAGAAGAGTTTAACAACTGCATACATATGAATAAGGAACTGTAGATTCACCCAGCACAGGGAATATGGAGATTATGGTTGTTCAGTAAGATTAACTAAAGCAGCCAGATTAACCTGAGATTAACTCTTTAATAGTCTGTAAGTGTCTGTCGGAGGCAAAACCTTCAAGGCAGGGAAGCCTTCATTTGTTAACTCAGTAGAGCTTTTCAAATAGTCCCACATAAACTGTCAGGCACAATGCACGTGTTGCTCTTTAGAAGCCCTCCTTTCATTGTTTGAAGTTTTAAAACACATCACATCACCAGCTCATTTATCCTGATTATTTCATTTGATTCTTTCTCCAGAACAACATTCCTTCCAGTGCCATGACTCGAAGGAACACTTATGTGTGTACAGACCGATCCAGCACCGACAGGAACACACTGTTGCAAAATGGCAAGGAAAACAGGTGAGAATATGGACTGCAGATGCTAAGATAAATGTCCTACCCGTCAGTCAAAGTAGGTCTCAGAGAGTTATGTCCATGAATCATATTTGTACGCAATACTGAAGATGTAAAAATCATCACAACACTTGAGAACACAGATTCACTCAGCATAGAGCAATTAGTCTGTTTTTGCTAGATCTACATTTCACCTCACATTGTATTGAATCTCTTTTTTAAGTGCGGGTGCACACAAAGGCTATTAATTACTAGCCTTAATTCAATGTAGAAATAGGTAAACATGAACAAGATGGATTCATTACACAACACAGTTTGAACGTGTTATATCTTACTTAACCCAATGCAGGAAACACATTCTGCATATTTATATTGAATACAGTGAAACAGTTTCCTCTTGTCCAGCGCGTCTCCTTGCACACAGCTCAGTGTTTGGCCCTGAGTGTTAGTCTAATAAATACATGGTGTCTCTTCAAGAGAGGATAAAGGGCTTACATTGTGCATGAGTGGGCTAGTCAGTGTGTGTGTTTATACACCCAATATGATGCGTCTGTTGTTGTGACAGATGGTTGTCCGCCACCATCTCCCCTCTCTCCCTCTCTCACTTTTATTCTGTCTGACCTGTTTCCTCTGTCTCTTTATTGCTCTGTAAGTTTGCCTCCCACAGGAAGAGCCATAGACTTTCTGTCTGTTCAAACATTTGTTTTGGGACTTAGGTTCTTCAGGTCGAGTAGGCAAATTCTTCTTTAGCTTCTTTACTTCTGTGATTTTTACTATTCTACAGTATTGCAATACTACATGGTACAAGTGTTTGTCTACCGCCTTAACTGTTCCACCAGCTGAAAATCTGCTCAAAGACTGTAGGTCAACCTTTTGAGAGACTCTAGGAATTAGCCTACCCTAACAACATATTAACATCATCTCTCCCCCCAACATGTCCTGAACATTGAATATGAACTGTTTCAATCAAATCAGAGGCACAGGGTCCCAGGATTTGATCAAGTTGGACTGAAGCGCTCCTTTGTGCACGTCAATCCTAAAATAAAATACAGATTTAAATCCCAGGTCAAATGCACGTTAGAGGAAATGGAGCTGCTGTGATGCAAGGAAATGTCAGAATTCTGAAGATTATCGTAGCGTATATGGGAGGAGGGCTGGGGGCAGGTCAGGCAAACAATGTATCCAATTCCAAAGAATAGAAAAAAAGTATCGAACAGGGGGGCGGGCACCATGCCGACATTACCCTCCATTTGCTCAGAGGCCTTTTCAATGTCATGCCATGCCAGAGTGGCTGATGGGAACACATGCATGGACACACGGTCACATAAAAGGGGACATGGAAAGGATGTGATCTATAATGGAAACAGGATTATGTAAACAACAGCGTGTGAGTGAGTTACTGTATGTGTGTGACTGATCGTACATTGTTTGTATGACCCACATTTTCATCCATTTATTAAAAACACTGTTGGGCATTAAAGACCATGAAATGATACACAGACTGTAATCTTTGATGACTTTGGAAGTGATCTTATACAGAGACAGAGTGTAGCTGCAGATAAAAAAACACTTCATAAAGCTGTGGACAAATGGTTATAAAAGAGTTTAAATGTTATAATAAGTAAAGAATTTATAGTTATTCTATGCTTGTCATCGGTGCCACCGAGTGCAATTGAGACGCAATCATGCAGGTTCACAACAAGTGTCTGGTGCTCAGAAAACTCTATTGCTTTTGTCCACAAACACCACCAAAAATAAAAGTTCCTTTTAGTAATTGTATTAGATTTGCCCTTTTTTGGCAGTTATTTGTATATACATAGTGTTCAACTCTCAATTTAATTTAATTATACTTCTTGTTTTATCTTTACCTAGAAATAACAATAAACCCTCAAATATAAATGTGACTACAGGTGTGACAGGGTTTCTTTGAAGGTCCAATGCAGTAGGACTGGCACTAACCAGAATCAGAATCCATCATTCGTCCCACAGAGGAGATATATACATTGTTACTGCAAGTGAAGAGCCAAAGGTAGCTGGATATTAATTAAGAAGCATGTATAAAATATTAAAGATACAATTAGAAACTACACAATTTAAAATGTACAAAATACACATCCAGTCCCAGTAACAGTTGTGGGATAGCAGCTAGATGATAGTATTACATTAAACACACCACAAAGTTTCACTCCAGATAGGCTTAACCCTACTATTCAGGTTTGTCAAGTAAAATATTTGTTGCCTTTACGTTGCATCAAAAATACAGGTATACATTTAAAGCGGAAATCTCAGGAGTTCTCGGGTAGTCCCTTTCTACCATTTTCTTCCCTTCTTTTGTACATGTTCAGCCTCTCAACCTCCTCGTCTCCTCTCGCTATTCTTTTAGTCTTCATTACTCAGACACCCCCAACCCCCCATCAGCCCCCTGTGTGCCCCCCGCAGTGAGCCGCAGCTCATATTGACGTTAAACGATTTTGCTCTGCAGCGGCTGCGCTTCAACTTAACTCGTTGAATGGCTCTGCCCCACTTGAACCTTGTGTGTGGGAGTTATCTAGAGCGTTATGAAAAGCAGCCTCAGGCCACCAGCCACAGAGTGAGGGTGGAGAGGGTGTGTGTGTGTGTGTGTGTGTGTGTGTGTGTGTCAAAGTGTACGTGTAAGGGTATCGAAGGGGGGGG